AAAAAAAAAAAAAAAAAGAAAGAGTATCTAATAACTTAGCTACCATGGTCACTCTATTCCATTTGGGATGCGTTTTGAAAAGCTAGCCGTGACAAATTTACGCATAAACTTGAGGTATAAATATGATTGAGGAGGAAGCACAGTTATTTTATCGTTTTTTATTAATTACACTTTTACAAGAGACATTTTTTACGTCCATTAAAAGGATAAGAGCAAAGGGAAGCAAATACCTACTCGCCCCAGTTCTTTTCCGAGGTGGTCATTGCAGGCGCTGTCCAGCGGTGTTTTGGCGGTCAAATCAAAATGGCTTCTTTACTTGAAGTGGTTCAACATTTTACTCATAAAACAGGCAACCTAAAACAATGTATGGACTTACGAAATGCAGGTATATATACACTAGACGATGGAATATTGTTCTATTTAGCCTTCTCACTGATAAAAAGATAGTATGAACCTGAATTTTTCTTTTTTAATTGATATTGTACGTCGAAGTTAACCTCGTCAAATACTATGTAATAGAAGTTTTAAACCGTTTTAAATCATTTTTACAATTATAGGAAGGCAGAGAAATTTAGCAATATTAAAGGATCAACAGTGTCATCTTGTTTCATATTTTTTGTTCTTGCAGCAAATTCATCAACTTGTTTATCTGACTTGAAGTCCATTAATAACGAAGTTACAGAGATCGAGCAAATACTGTCAAAGATGAGGGAACAACTGGTGACAGAAAAACAAAATCTTGATAGAGGAAAGGTAGTCTTTACAGTGATCTGACCATTATTTACTTTTGAGGGGGGGGGGGGGGGGGGGGAGGCAAGTCCAGGTATCTTCCTATTTCAGTTGTAGAGGAATATTAAATGATATAGTATAGAATGTTATTGTCCTTCTTTCCCTTGGATGAAATTTAGCTACACTTCATCTATTTTTCCTGCCATCCGTCCTTAAATTACTGAAACCTCATACTTGGAGATACTTGGATATAAACTAATTTATTGCTTAATCATTGATAATATTCAGGCTCTAGTAGAAATGGTACAGGAGTACAGAGATAACATCAAGCATATTGCAAACAATTTGCCATCTCATTTACCAAATACCAAGAGGTAAAAGTATTTATAATATGAAATTATATCATGTAGTATATAGAGTAAATTTGAAAGAGAAAATTTGTGCCCTAGATTGGATTCAAACCCGGGGGGGTACTCCAGAACTTGGGTAGGGGTGTTCCGCTGGGATTCTGAAAGGGGTACCCTGTTTATGACAAAAAAAAATCAAATTTGTAGACCCTGTTAATGACAAAAGATATAATTTATTGCACTGAGTTTCAATTATCATGTCATCTTACGTATGGTTTTTTTACGACCATGATAACCAGTTTTGGTCAATACAAAAGTAGAAACCCTGAATATGACAAGAAACTCAGGAAGAACTTGGACCTTGAGTGAACATACCCTGTTTATGACAAGATGCTCGAAAAACCATACCCTGTTTAGCGGATCATCCCTATATAGTCCATATATTGGAGTACACCCCCCCTCCAGGGATTCAAACCCACAGCCTCAGTATTCTAGTCCAATGTGTTAACCAACTACACCACAAGGAAACAAAGTTGAACTCTATGTACAGTAGTAAGTGATTTGTCTGTACCGCAAGTTTTTCCAGGCTTTTCTCTTTCGGATTTACATTAGAGTTGGGGAAGCCCAGAACTTCTAATTATTTAGCCTTTTATTTCCTTATACATTACAGTATAGTTTGTTGGGGAGACTTATTCAGATTGGTTAATGTTTTCCCATTACAAATCATTTCTTGATCATCATTTTCTTTTTCTACCTGTAGAACATTAATATGCCTCAATCAAAGCATTATTAAACATCAAAACCTTTAGTTCAAACAAAATATTTGTCATTTATCAAGTTCATTAATTATTTAGAGAAGCTTCAAACAAGGAACAGTCTACCAAGCACTCAATACCAATCAACCAAGAACAGCATTCCATCAAACGAGCTAAAGTGACCAGCCGTAATGGAGACATAGAGGTCCCACAGATACCATACTTAACAGTGGATGAGTTTGGAACTGTACCAAAGTAAGAAAAATAGATGGTATATTTAAAAAAAATGTGAACATATGTATTCTGCAATAATCTTCCAAGCTATTTCCTTATAGTCTTCTTGTCTTTCCCCTTCTTCTTCTTCCTCCTTTTTAGTTGACAATTCTTATGTTCTCTGCTGAGCTGTGGTTTTGCTAACAAGTCATCTTGTTTTCATGTATATTTTATGTAACCACAGATGCATTAAAGCCCTTCTATCTGTTAATGTAATGTGTCTTAACTTCATTAATACTGTTGCCATAGATACATCAAAGGAAGGATTAATTATCAACAAGTGAATGATGCAATAGATGAAATCAACAAAGTCATCAAAGCCAAGTATAAGATTCTTAACCTGCCGAGGTCTGCAATGGGAGAGCCAATCATGAAGAAATATAAGGTATATTCTAATATTCTGTTACTGTGAATATGAAATATATATTTTAAGATATTGGTATAACAGCGATACAGGAAGGGCCCACAAATTCTGTGTGTTTGTTTAGTGGGGTATGAATGTGTTTGTTTGTTTGTTTGTTTGTTTGTTTGATATACAGTGCTACTGACCTCTAAAGCAGACTCCTTAGTGAGCAGACACCATTTATTCAGTGGACAGCTTAGGTGTCCACTTAATAGAGGTACCACGAACTGTACTTATGTTTATGCTTCCCTCTATCACCTTCTATTCTGCCATGTACGCTTGTCTACTAATCTGAGAAAGGTTGTAGAATCTATTAGGTTGCCCTAACCATTTGACAAGGTCCCTACACAATAACAAATTAGAATTTATAAATTGCTTATTGTGGATTGAAGAACACTGCTCTTTTTTAATCAATGGTTTTTTGGTTGCAGGCTTTCAAAGAAGCAGAGACAGAGGAAACAAAAGGTAACAAAGTCATACCATACACTTCTATAAACCCCTTGCTTTTATTTCCGTCTTTTCTCATGCAAAAAAAAACAACAAAAAAACAAAAAACATGGATTGTTTTGTCCCCCAGAACAATTTCTCTCAGGACTCAGTGCTCTAGTGGTCTATAGACAGCAATTTTAATATGCTATAGATAGTTATTTTTATTCTCAGACTATAGGATCTTAGAAAACCAAGCATTATTTTTTAATTTTAGGGCATTATTTCTTCATTGAAAATGATGTGAAGAATTATTCCAACCTGAAGCTTGATAAAGCAGGGAGAGCCATTCTGACCATCATGCGTCACTGCAGTCAACTTAAGGAGCTGCGCAGTGGAGGACTAATAAGATATGCTATAAAACAATAATCTAATGAACTATTAACCCTTGTTGAATATTTCCTGTCGTATAACATAGGTGTTAAAAAACCTCTTGGGAGTAGAGGTGAGGAGGAATGGCAAATTTTGATAATATGTATCCATACTGTAGAAACTAGACACTGATGCTAGTGACTTTCATGATATTAATAGTTTCAGGGCTTAAGATAACAGCTGGTAATCAGAAAAGGTCAGAAATAAGGTATGACTGAGCTAAACCTAATTTGGCCTGTGATTGTGGCTGGTGACTGATTGGCCATCATTTTGAGGCCTGTAGTTTTCTGTATAGTAGTCATAGCAACTCATTATTTTTGCCTTTTTATCTAATTTTCCTTTTCTTTCTTTCCATTTTATTGGAATCTTTCCACTCATTTCTTGTGTAAACGGTTGCCTTTTATTTCCCCATTCAATTATCATGTATTTCCCATTCATTTCAATCCCATGTTGTTTTAGAGAGTATTAGTAAACAGTAAAGCAACTGAATAGTGCAAAGGTTTTTACTTAATATTTCACGAATTTCTAACAATTATTGCAAATAACTGTACAATTCAATGTAAATACTACTTGTTTATAAAAAGAAAGCATAAAAAACACTGTGTTTTTAAGTTTGACACTACAAAACATGGCGATGAATGGTATGACTACCATTTGAAATACTCTACATTGTTTTAGTCTTTTGTTAACTTAGTCTCTTGGAACTTTGTAGTAATCTTGTACAATAATAGTGGGTACCTTGACACTGGGATCCTACTGTAAGTAAGTCTTAGTGTTTTGTTTAAGGTTTAGTAGAAGATTGTCAAAGTATTCTATAGATCATTCAGTCAAGCTGCTGAAACTGCTAAAGGCTGAGCACGACTCCTAAACCTTTAAGAAATACTTTCAGTATATCTTGTTTCTTTTTCTATTTTCATTTTTAAATTTACTTATTTTATTGTTTTTCCAGTTTTTGTTTGTCAAAATTGGTCGTCAAAAGTTCAAATTTGTATGTTTTTGTTCTGTATTAAATCCTTGTGCGATATTCATTATTTCAAACATCATTCAGTTGGACTTGTTTATTCTTTGCTAGCAACTTGTCCCTTGTGGAAAAATTATTTTTCCTGCAGGAGAAATATTCCTTTCCTTTTATTGTCTGTTGTACTGTCAGAATCTTGGTTTTCTTGTCTTCTTCTTGTCTTGATATCATTAGTTTAGTTTGTTGATTTGTCTTTCACAGGGACAGCATGAGGAAGGATCAGGTGGGGCAACACCCCAATGATTTCCTCATCTTGCAGTGACTTGAACTTTATTTTCTTTAGCCCTACCACTATTTAGGTTGCTCTGCTGTCCCAGATTCGTAGTACATGTTGTAACGTTGTCATGATGAGCAGTTACTCTCAGTGTCTCATTTTCTTTGTTTTCTTTCGTCAAAAAAATTATACATTTTCATTTGTAAGTCAATTGTAAGTAGTTATTGTAACACTTGTCCCTAGGTATTACCATCATCGCCGTCATTCTCACAATTGCCAGTAGTGCTAATTCATTCCTTTCTAAAAACATCCTATGTAAATAATAAGTGCATACATCCAACCAACAGTTCTGATTTCATTTATCCCATTTTTCTATTTCCCATTTTAGGAATAATACTTTTACTCCTGTGCAATCTGTGCTTGAATTTTTTTTGGACATCCATTTGGTACATTTTACAAACGTATCATTCTTCTTTGTCCATTGTGCTGCTATTCTGTTCATTCACACAAAGTATTCTGTGATACATGGAGAGTCATCACTTTGGTCTGTGGTTTGATCACTTGATCGCCTGCCCATGCGCAGTCAGAGCTCTGTGTTGGCTTGTGCCTCAGTTGGTCCTTCCTGTGTTGGCGAGGCTGGGGGAGTCTGTGGAGCAGCAGGTGCTGGTTTTCCCTGAGAAAAGGACCAGTTTGATTAGTTTTATTAACCTTGACAACATCAGCAGCAGCATCGACATACCTTGAGAGCTTCTCTTCTCTTGAATTCAACCTTAGCAATCTCAGTCTCCACCCATTCTGGGATGTCAGGGATGGCGTAGGCTACAGCTACTTTGATGCCAATCACGAGGTGCTGAGGAAAGACAATGTGAATGTTATACAAATATCTGGTCTTGGATCTCTGGGATGCTTTTGATGTACTGTAGATACTGTAAAAAATGTCCTTTCTTCCCTCTTTCATTTTCTGCCTTTCCTTTTCCCATTTTGTCCCTTTACGATTCATCCTTTTTGTTTCCTCAATTGTGTATTATTTCGCTATTATATCTAATGAAGAAATAGAAAACGCGGTGCATGCTGTGTGCAGCTATAAAGCACACAGGGGTTGGCAGAACACTAGAGAAGTGTTAGGAGAAGCACGACGCACTCTCAACCAATCAGAAAGCGAGATTTTTTAGATTTATTTCATAATTATTGGTATATAGCAGACATGTTTGTTTACCTCCAGGAATACAATGAGTAGAATAGTTTCTGCAGTAGTCATGTTGGGGAACATCCTCTGGATAGAACCGCCTGTACCAAGTAAAGCCAGGTTCACCATCACTGCGACAACGCCCATCACCTCCATCGCATCCTGCACAAGACAACAGAAAACCAGATAGTCAAGAAGTTGATAACAATAAACACAGCTAAACGTCTTTTAGTGGTAGGATTTGTTGCTGAATAGTGCGGTTAGTAAATTTTACTCCTGAAGGGAGTCAGAATGACCATGTTCCAGTCTACACCATCGCATAATAAAGACTAGCAGTAGCAGTCCGAGTGTTGCGTTCCTCACAACTGCCGAAATCGTGAGACAAATGATTAAGTATGATCTTTGAAATTCTTGTTTTTTTGATAATGTTTTATTTTTATCTGGATATCACAATGTTTTAAGGCACATCAGCGAAGTTCTTTTTAAAACAAACTGCAGTCTTACCACGGTTGTTTAATTTACTGCTTTATCTTTATCAGAATGTCGTACCAGCTACCATGTACGTGCTGTATGTCAGTATCCTATGTTTCCCACTCATACGACAACCATTCTCATGGCAAGCCATTTCAGTGTTACAGCATTTCGTACTGTGTACATGCTGCAAGTAAGTACCGTATGTTTCCCACTCATACGACAACCATTCTCATGGCAATCCATTTCAGTGTTACAGCATTTCGTACCGTGTACATGCTGTAAGTAAGTACCGTATGTTCTCACTCATACGACAAGCATTTTCATGGCAATCCATTTCAATGTTACAGCATTTCGTACCGTGTACATGCTGCAAGTAAGTACCGTATGTTTCCCACTCATACGACAACCATTCTCATGGCAAGCCATTTCAGTGTTACAGCATTTCGTACCGTGTACATGCTGCAAGTAAGTACCGTATGTTTCCCGTTGTATTTATCAGTACAATGTTATCTTACCTGCCATGTACCAATGTTCTCTACCTTCTCTCCAAAAGGTCTCCTCAGGTTGGTGCAGAGTTTGAAGGCATCGCTGCGGATTTCGATGACGTTGTTCAAAAGAGCACAGAGAGCAGCCAATGGGAAGGCAGACGAGAACAAGACGACGTAACCAAACTGGATGAACATCTCAAGGTAATCTTCGAATGTATCCTTTAAAAATAAATGAAAAGTGTTATCAATGGAGCATAGCAGTGTTGGTTATCGCATTGAAATTTATCAAAAACAACCTAGCTTCGTGTTAATTTGGGGGGAGGGGGGTATGGGTTAGTTCCTCCTACCTCGTACTCTGGCATATTACTTTCAATCTCAGCCTGATTCATCAAAGGAGTATCAAGTTCCTTTGGTTTATCGCCAGTTTTCTTGTCAGCTGGTTGGTTCTTGGCCAGCTCCTTCTTTTCCTTTTCCATCTTCTTCTTTTGTTTCCATTCCTTCACTTTTTGCTTGACGAAAGGTACTAATGCTTCTTTCACGTTACCAACAACTTGTTTGGTGATCAGTAGAGCGGCTAGTGTCTGGAATATACACGTTTATTTATCGGTCAGAATCAAGGGTAATAATCAAGACCTTATGTGATGGATATGATTGATGTTCAGCCAATCAAAATGCTATTACACGGCACTGTTGCGGTCATGGCACGGTATGGTGACGTATTATGACGTCAACTATCCCGTGGTTGATGAACATGAAATTTGACATGTGTGACGTAATAAGGACTTGTGACGTATATATGACGTCAAACATCACGTGGCTGGTGGCTAGTAACAGATATTGATGTATGCTATTGAGTCGGTGTACTTACATTCTTGAGTCTTGGGAAGTCTCGTACATAGAAGGCAATGTAGAAGAGAGACAGGAAAGCGTTGAAAAACTGGAACTATAAAAGGATAATATAATAGAGCAAGGGTTAGAGACCATCACTGCAGTAGGATAGGGATAAGTGATCATCAAGTAGTCCATGGTCACTCACCGATACCAGCTTGATAATCAGATGGTTTTCGTAGTTCTCTTGTAAGCGATAGTTCTCTGAAAATATTAAGCAGTTGACGTGACTTAACTGTAGGAAAAAGGACACCAAACGAAGTCTCCATTTTATCAAACCCTGAAACAACCTTGAAATAATCAAGTCAGGGCACGGATAGCTCACAGATTGAATTGGAATTAGCCGGGTGATTGGTTTTGTAAAGGGAAAGACATGTATGGCACGCGTAACCCACCTTTATCATTGAGGAAGTAAGCCAGTTTCTTGTAGTTATCATCCAATTGTCCAATACACACAGCCAGAAGAACTTTGGGTGCGAACTTCAGTGGTTTTGGTGGGTTTTCCATTTTGTCAACCCATCGTTGGAACTCGAAACAGAACAACATAGAGACGACGACGACACCAAGTGATACAAGGATAGCAGGAAGAGATACACAATAGCGGAAGATATTTCGCTTGATGGAAGGATAGTGAGGCTCTAGACTACCTGTTATCTCGCTACGCTTGAACTCACCCTATAAAAAGAAAAAGAAAATTGCTGGGTTTCAATCAGTTGATAAAAGTAATTGAAGCTCATTTTCTGCTGCAAGTGGTGGACAAACACTGACCACCATGTGCTGTCAACCAGAAAGAATTCTATTGAAAACTCGTGATTCAGCTGATGAACATCCCGTACGAGACAGGGAATGACATCAAGTGAAACCTATTAGTCCACCGTATGACGTCATCTTGGCGATGACGTCATTAAAGACATTTTTTTCTAAAGACATTTTCATACCCTAAATAGAGGTCTTGGGTCTTTGAGTGCTTCGGATGGCATGTCCAAGGTACCCCATTTGTAGGCCAGTTCAGCACTTCTTCGTTTCCATGCCTCCAGGAAGAGCGTTGCCCAAACGATGTTGAAGATATTGCAAGCCAGCATGCACCAGTCACGTGTCACCTCACTGCGCATGCTTAGAATGAATGTCACGATTCCAAGGAACGCGGGCGCAATGAGCCATTTTGTGTACATACCAAGCCAGGCAAAGTACATTGCGATCTTGACTCCAAAGTATTTACAAATGTCATCTGTGATTGAGAGGTTAATCAAGGATACGTGGTGAGATAAGATACCTTTTTTTTCTAACAATACTAATGATGATGGTTTTGATGATTTTGGGGTGGTATGGTGTACGCTGCTAATGCGTCGTCTTTCACCGCTGTGAGTACAACGGGTCGGGTCGTTTGATGTGTTGTTCTCTCCCTTGCCACGAGGGTTTTTCTCCGGGTTCTCCGGTTTTCCTCCCTCCATAAAAATCGACATGTGAGTTGAGAGTTGCGCGTATAAAATTGCAACGTTGTGGTAGTGTGTGTGAGTGGACTCGGAGATATTAGTAGTCTCAAATCCGAGTATAAATAACAAGATTATTATTATTACTTTATTTATGATTACATGTTGACTGTGGAAATAATGGTGCATGTGATGATGATGATGATGATGATGATGACTCTACTGCTGCTAAGGATGATAATGATAGTGATGATATTCTTGACTGATTCTGTTACCTATAGGTTGTGGTTTGAAGAATGCTTTGACCCAGGTTTTCCTCAGTTTGACCAAGTCATCCTCGTTATGAAGAGGGAAGAGCTTGTCAATCACTCCTTCTGACAACAGCTTAGGGACTGGAAATGAAAAAAAACTAGTCGTTAGAAACAGCCCCAGACTACTCACGTCCACAGGGTACCCAGTACCTCTATCACGGTAACTTACCAATCTGCATGCCTTCACAGAACTTTATTTTTCCCAGTTCGTCACCGTCAACAGCCCTCAAGGTGTTGATCATCTCGAGAACAATGGTCTGTTTGTCTCCCGAGGTGAAGAAGGTGGTCGGATCATCATGGTTCTCGAACTGTTCCTTTTCATCAACCTTAAACTCCACCATACCTCCGCCAATCAGCTTCTTCCTAAAGCCCAGTTCCTCAGCCCAATTCTGATAAACCTGACCGGGAGAGAAAAAATGTCAAGAAATGACTTCATAAGGCGGCTGCGCTCCTCTTGGTCTCCACCAACGCATGCGTTTTAGAGTTTTACCGCTGAACGAAATATTCAGTGTAATACTGACCTCGTAGGAAGCTGATAGGTAGAAGGCATAAACAGGGGTATGCGCCATTTGTCGAACATGTACATCTATTTCCGGTACGCGGGCTCGTAATCGGGACAGCAGCCACATCACTACATAATCCTCGGTGTCCTTAGGGAAAGTAAGGATGACGTCACATGTCTGAGATGGCGTCGAGTGTTCCCAGAGTTTGGACGACAGCACAAACTTTCCAGCCTTTTGCCAGTTATCTGTAAGAAAAAAAGAGTTTAGTTTAGCGGGTGAGAAGATTTGACAAAAGAGTTAAGGGACTGAAAAGAAGTTATTGCTAAATTCATATACAGTTTCTCTTATATTCTTGGCCTTTTACACTCCTCCCTTTCTGTGTAGCAGGCATACACTGTCGGCTTAATATAATTTACCGATATGCAATATTGCATCAAAACCTAGGTTGGATAATAAGTATGAGATTTGAGTTTTATAAGCATTTTTTTTTCCCGCGAAGCAAACTTACTTTGTGAGTCGGTAGAGAACACATCTTTTGCTGTGGTTTTTGCTGTTGATAGAGCAAGAGTATTCATTAAACTTTCGTTAGAAGAGAGAAATAAACGAAGACAAACGGATAAGCTACGTGTGCGAGCATGACAAACCCTGTTTCAAGTTCACAGCGCACAGCGCGCTTCTCGATGTCTTTTCCATCAGGATATTTTAGAGACTGCAAGGTATGTTTTCACTAAGCACTTAAGCTCTTCAAACAAAGCTTTTTTTCTGGGAAACTGCAGACATTGTCAAATACAAATACAACTCCACCAGTTTGATATAGCCAAGAAAAACAAGTCGCTAGTATAGAAAACGATACCGTATGTCAAGCGAATGGAAGTTGAAACTATTGTTGAAATTATTCATAAGATGTTTGGAAATTTTGTGTAGCTTTTTTGGCATTTCTGGACTGTTTTTCCAGTAGAGCTTCGATTATTAGCAAATTTTATAAAACAAAATGACGAACAAAGCATAGAATTTATAAGTTTATGAAATTGCAAAAAGAAAACAAAATGCATAAGTGAATTGCAAATGATTTTTCACCGTTCCTGTTTGGCTTTGGTGATGATTTCAAGATTTCACTGCGCTCTCGGAATTTCTAAAGAGAAAAATCATTTTTCATTCAAATGCAAATTTTTACCTTTTGCGCTTGTTCTTCTCTCTGGAATTGGCATTTTGAACGACAAAAAGAGGAGATTTCCCTCCAGCGTCCTTAAAAACACACCTTTCTAAGCTTTAAAAAAGTGGCTTGCTTGCTGGAGCTGGTTTTGCTACCTGCTAAGCCAGGCGGGTAGACGCGTAAAATGCTTGACTATGATAGGTTAATTGTTATTCTCTGATTGGTTGATATGATCGAGGGAAGCAGGTTACGGGTGGCTGTTTACTGGGGCAACTTCCCCAGATTTTTATGGATTAAAACAAAAACATCAGATAAAACCACGACCCTACTTCAATAACAGAGATTTAACTTATCAATGAAGGTCTGAATTTTTTAAGCTAAAATATTTTTCTAAAATCTTGTTTTATTCCACTAATAGAATCCGTAGACTAGAATCCTTCAAAAAATTTGTTTCAGATTTTTAATCTATTAACAAAAACGAGATAAAACCACGACCCTAAATCAATAATGGAGATTTTCCACATCGATGAAAGTCTGAGTTTTATTCGCAAAAAAAGTTTCTAAAATATCAAATTTATTCCATTCCAAAGAATTTTTGTTTCATTTAACCAATTTTGCTGCTCTTTCTTAAATTATGATAATTTGGAAGTCAAACAATACAAGTGAATGACACCTTACTGGCTTCTCTCTATCTGACATATTATTATCGTCTTTTAATAATGACTCATAAAACAAATCCGCGAGACAAGTGTTTATTTACAGGAAGTGAGATGAATCACGTCTAAGTTCCTACCGCTGTAATCAAACAACCAACAACAATACAGAAAAAAAAAGCCAGTGTTATGGATAAACGCGCGTGAATCAGAAACGCGTACTTTTACGAAATAGACCTCTTCGGCTTTGGCGTAATCAGTTTTCCCATTCCAGATTACGTGTCATTGTCTATAGTATTATTTCTTTGTTTAATGTTTGCACATGAGAAGACACATGAATATGGATATAAACCATACGAGGAATCTTATTCTCAAGAGAATGACACGTGGTTTGAAATGGGAAAATATTACCGCTCAAGGTAAAGAGGTATATTGTTCAAGTAATATACACTCCTTTTTGCTCGTATGCCATAGAGAATTGATCTAAAAAAGCAGCAGAACACCCCCATTTTGCGTTTCCTCTGAGTACTAGAGCGCCTGGCATGCCCCAGGGTATATCCCTGGGTAGGAAAGTAGAAGACGAGGGGGGATGGGACAGGAGAAAGGTTGGTATGGACTTCACTGCGGAGCCCCTACACAGGGTTACCATACGTGAAAGAACTCTAATTAACGTTCAGGCATACAAGCATTAGCAACGACACTGTTATATGCACATATGAATTAGACGTTAATATATAAGCACCAGTGATGTTAATATATTTTGTAGTAGTACAAAGTGTTTTTAACATTCATTACTTCGTACATCCCATTCATAAATTTTTCCTAAGGAACTAGACCGTGTCCTTGATGTAACTAAGTACAATAGTTATTTTTACTCTGAAAATTTTGAAGCAATGTTACCAGGACAAATGTAAATCACGGTAATTCGTTCTGCACTAGAAACATGACAACCCATAAAGGTTTAAACTCTCTTATAAACTATCAATTAAACCACAAATCAATAAATAATATTTAGTATAACCTACCCCAGGTCCAGAGATGTTTCGGCTGTTGTTTAGTTATTGACCAAACCGTTTGAACTCTCTTCATTTATCCACTTCAATTCATCCAATAATATTATCTTCATTTAGTTGATTATTTTCTTCTCCGCAGTTTATTAAACCCTTTTCCTTTTTAATTTTGTTCCTAACTTTATTTTAAACATTTGTTCCTTAACACATCCATTTTGTAGCCCTGTCTTTATCTTCTATTAAAAATAAATTACAGACGTTGTTTCGGTTATAATTTCAAAAATGCAAATTTTTCTTCTCGTTTCTAGGAGATCAACACTCGTCTTGGGAATGTTGAAAATCAACAAAATAAAAACCCCAGTTGTGTGTGTATGTTTAGAACAAGGAGCAAAAAATGAATTCTTAAGTAAAAAAATTAAAAAAAACAATATATTTTTGCATTACATATTTCTTAAATAACATTAATTTTATTCCCATTATTTTAAAACTTCTTAACTTTATTGCTATTATTATCGAAAACTTCCATCAGACTAACTTAAAGAAATGTTACATTTTCAATATCAGTCATTTTCGTGCGTTTCCACGCCTTTTTCCAAGATATGAATCATTTATGACGACTTAAAAATCATTCATTTTCGAGCATTTTTATCCAAAAAGCATGGACTATAGCCCATGGTTTTGATGAAAAATGGACCATTTTCACACCTTTTTGCTAAACTATGAATTATTTATGACAAATGAAAAATCAGTCATTTTTGGGCATTTTTAGTCAAAAAGCATGGACTATAGCCCATGGTTTTGAT